GCTCCCTGCGAGGCCCGGGCTCGCGGCTCCGCTCGCGCGGCGCTGCCGGGGAAGGGGCCGGCCCCGCGCCGGGAGGGAGCTTTTAAAGCGACACGCACGCCGCCCAGCGCCGGGCGCAGAGCGCGCCAGGAGCCGGGGTCTCGATACCCCAGGGCGGGGACAGGGTCCTGCGGGCAGACCGGGTGAGTGGGGCACAGGGACTGAATTTCTTCTCTACTTTCTAGGTATCCCGATAGTCCCTTCCCCCACTAAGGTGCACCTCAAGCTGCCCTTTGCCCTTAGTTTCTCCAATTCAGATCCTCTTCCCCATCTCATCATACCTCAGAGCACCCCAGACACTCCCTCCAGTCAGATTGATTCACAAGATAGAACACAGTCAGGCTTTGCTGAGCACCCACTGTGTACCTGGCTCTGGGCTGGAAGGGGCAGTGCTGGAGACGACGCGGGTGACAAGTATGCTTCAGATACATCACTTCCTTCAGTCTTCAGCTTCTGTATCCCTTGCTCCATGCTAGGTCCTGGGCCCCAGGGAGGAAGCTCACAGGTCCCTAAAGAGGAGTAGGAGCCAAGGGAGGGGTGATCCTTGAGGGACAGGGCAAGTTCTACCAACAGTGGCTGTGGGGCTGGGAACTGAGGTGGAGTGGAGGGTTGGGAATCACAGGTCCCAGCCTGGGGTGTTCTCCCAAAAGGCAACCTTTGAGCTGCATCTGAAAGAGGTGGGAGTTACTCAGGTGACAGCGTGGAGGAGGGTGGAGAGTCAGGTGTTGTGGCTGGCAGTGTGGACTTTGTCCTGGTGAAGCCAGGAGCTGTGATACTGGATGCAGCCTGCTTCTGCTTGCCTTCTCTGATCCCTTTGAGGATCCGGGATGGTGGATCATGGGAAGCAGGGGTCACAGGCAGCGGGTAAGTTACAAGGTGGCTCCTAGGCCAGAGTTGAAGGAGGAAGGAAGGGTGGCTGTGGGGATGGAGAAGGGCTGCTGAAAGAAATCACTTTAGAGACTCACTGAACTTTGGGAGATAGGGACAACCCAGAAAACCTCTGGTCTCCATCTTGGGAGGCCAGGTAGTTGCTGGCCTCTGACCATTTAGAGTCAGAAAATGAGGGTAACCACATGTTTGGGTGGCTGAGGAGTTTGGGACTGGTAGAAAGATCAGAAGACTGTTGGGTCTATGGACAGGCTAGGATTGGGCGGGGTGTTTCTGTTTTCAAGTCTTCCTTCCTGTGGATGAGGTTAAGCAGGCAGACCAGACAGAAGGAACATCAGCCTCAGGTCCTGGTGGGCACCACAGACGAGTCCAGGAGTGAGATGGAGAAGGAGTGGTCAGGAGGCCAGGCCAGGCAAAGAGTGGACTCATGTCAGCCCAGGTAGAGGGGTCTAGAGGAGGCAAGGGCTCTGGTATCTAAGGCTGCAGTTAGGAGCCAGGAGAGAAAGAATGGAAAGTGCATTGGCCTTGGGGCACTGGGAATGCGACAAGGGCGATTTGGTGTGGAGGGCATGACTGGTTGGGTGCTGAGGACGGGATGGCTCATTAGTGCATTGGGTGTGACTGTTCTCCTCACTCAGAGGCCTCCAATCCCTTTGCTTCCAATTCTGGCTAAATACTCATAGCGTGACATTTACTACCCAGTGTTTGAATGTATGTCTCAGCGGCATTCAGGAAATTAAGGAATCATATGTTCCTCCCACTGTTGCAGAAGAGGTGATGGTAAGGGAGAGCAAACATCAACAATCAGCTTGGCCTGAAACAACAGGAATTTCTAGCCTTGCATCTGAAGCTGTCTTCCCTCTATTCAGAATTCGGGCTGTGCGTTTGGCCCATAAGTGGCAGGTGGCGGTGAGCCTATTTAGAAAGTAATATCTAATTGATGTTGGGTCTCATTAAATGGCAGTGCACTGCGGAGGAAAAGGGAGGTGAGATTTCCTGTTATCTATGTGGCTCACACAGCATCCAGGATCTCAGCTCACAGGTTCGTACACGGGTGGGCAACAAGTATGGTGGCAGATGGGGGATGGGTGTCTGTGTCCTAGGCAGAATTGTCAGGGCAGCCTCACAAGGGGTCTCTGTAGCTGCAAAAGACTGTTATAGGCGAGAGGGAATAGACAGGGTGTGGGTTGCCCAGGCTGGCCCTTCTGAGTGCTGGGGGTTGACCTCTCCTCTTTCTCCTGGCTTCTCTGGCCACCTGCCCAGATATTCTTTCCTTAAACTCTCTTCTTAGGCTCTCCCACCCCCACTCCTGGCCTCCAGACAGACTCCTCTAATCCTTCAGTCTACAGAGAAGAATGGAAGTACTCTTTTGGCTCACAACCACACACTTCCCAGGATGTCCGTTTAATGTGTTAGCTGTGTGACCTTGAGGCAGTCACTTAACTTCTCTGAGCAGGGACAGGGAGCCCAGAAACATTTTATGGTTTTCTTGGCTATCTTACAGAGAGAGAGAGAGAGAGAGAGAGAGAGAGAGAGAGAGAGAGAGAGAGAGAACGCTTTCTACTGCCTCTTGGGATACTAGAAGTGCCTACTTCCTAGGGTCATTGTGGGCATGGATGGAAATAAGGCACGTGAAATGTCCTGGCCCAGGGCCTGGCACCTGCTGTCCCATGGATGGTGGTGGCTATCAGCCCTTAATAATGGCTTCACATGTGCAAGCCTATGGCTTTGTGAGACTGTGAACCCCCTGGCCAGGCCTGTCTGAGTCCTCCTTTGTCTCACACAGACCCATGTTGAGGACTATGACAGCTAGTGATTCTTAGGTCCCTGGCCTATATCCTACCATCCCACTTTTGGCATCCTTTTCCTTGGAGAAGTTCCTCCCTGTTGTTGCATGATCCTGGGTTACCAGAATAGTAGGTACTTCTGCCCATTCCTACTCTGTTGCCATAGGTGAGCCCATGATCCAAACAGCGCCAATCATGAAATCCCATCTTCCAGAATACTAGTAATCTGTTCATTGCTGGAACAAAACCTCCTGACATACACAACTTAAAAACATTTTGAACTCAGGACTTGGTGCTTACCAGGCAGGCACTTACACCACTGAGCTATCTTCCCAGCACTATACATAATTTAAAGGAGAAAGGCATATCCTGGCTCTTGGTTTCAGAGGCTTCAGTCCATGGTTGGCTGGTGGCAAGGCAGATATATGGCACAAAGGTATGGTGGAGAGAAGCTGCTGGCCTGTGGCAGCCAGAAAGCAGAGGACGGGGAGACCAGAGAGTGAGGAAGGGGCTCAGGACAAGAACATTCCCTTTCAGGTTTCTCCTCAGTGACCTATTTCATCCAATCAGCCACTGTTTCCCAAGAGCATGTTCAGCTGTGAGCTCAAGAACAGATTAACCCATTGATAAGGTCTCACGATCCAATCACTTTCCAAAACCCCCACCTCTGCAAACACATGAAACTTTGGGAGGGAGACATTTTGATCCAAACCGTAACATTCCATGACAGCAATGGGTCCCAGGGGTGGACACAAAACTCAAGCAGGACCGTCTGACTTTTTCCTTGGGACGAGTTGTGGATGCCAGGAGGAGGAAGCCGGATGGGCCAGAAGCATCTGAGGAGCTCTCTCTTTCCCTCAGTGCAGCAGCCCAGCAAGGAACAGAGAGGAGAGGAATTTGAAGAGCATGCTGGTGACATTGAGTTCCAATTTTGGTTCTCATGGCCTTGGTTCCTGCAGTTTTTCTTTCAGCTCTCTGTGCCAGAGAAACATCTTCCTCATCTGTAAGAGCTAATAAATTCCTTGCACAGCTCCAGCTTGTTTGGTTCGTTTTCTGTCTCATGTAACCTCTTGGACCCTAACAAATGCACTCAGGAAACACCAAATGAGATGAATACATGATTAACTAAATGGATTCCCAGAGGGAGACGGGTATCCAGAGATCCTGAGGCCAGAGGGTTGAGAGCTGCTGCTCTGCAGGCATGCCATGGAGGGAAGAGTAGAGATTTGGGAGATTATTCTACCAGGCCAACTTGGGTTTGAACCCCAGCTCTGCCATCTGCTAGCTGTGTGGTCTTGGACAAGTTAATTTCCTGCTCTGAAATTGAGCTCTTTGTAAGACAGGTATGGGAATAGTGACTTCCCAGAGTTGCTTTGTGGATGGAAGGAGATGGGGAACAGGCAGCACCAGGCACTGGGCTGGAGATGGGGGCAGAGAAGGCAGGAACTGGAAGAACAGTAAACAGGGTAGCTGTTTTTATTAGCCTGCAGTCCACTGTGGCTGTGTGGCAGGACTGAGATTGGCATGCAAGGGGCTGGGGAGATAGCTCAGTAGAATAAGCGCTTGCCTGGCAAGTGCAAGGGCCTAAGTTCAATCCCCAGTTCCGCAAAAAAAAGAGAGAGATTGACATGCAGGATAGGAGGAAATGCAGAGCAAAGTGAAAGTTGAATTTTCAGAAGCACTGAGCCCTGGAGCCATTGCTGGGGTGGGGCTGAGAACATGGGGCTGAGATAGATGGTAGAGAACAGCCTAGCACCCGAGCAATGGTGGGGGACAGATCAGACTCAAAGGCCGGCTAGCCCATTGACCACATGGCCCAGTTCATCTTCCCAAGCGTCTGTTTCCTTCTGTGTAGATACCTTCCTGATAGCTTGAGGACTAATTGAAGTAATTCATGTAATATGTTCAGCACAGGGCTAAGCAGGCATTGAATGATCTTAGCTACTGTCATTGCTATTGGGGCTTGGGGACATTTTTGAAACAAAGATTAGGATGAACAGACAGTGACATAGGCAGACTTTTCATGAGAGAGTCCCCACATAGAGGGGTTACAGAGAGTTGTATCTGATTCTGCCAAGAGAGGCCATTTCCACATGGCTGGGCCCCATTGTACTGGGGAGTTGTGTCTGAGGACATGTCAGGCATCTTTCAGCCACCCTGGTTGTCG